CTTCCGTTGTTTGTTGTTGAGAGAGATGGCGGGCCCGGCCCCGTTTGATAATTGTGAATATTTACATTGACATGCGTTAAAATTCACATTTAATTAGGAGTTGTAAAATTGCGCCCCCGTCCCGTTTGCCGGAGACTGCGAAACCCACCCGCGGCCCAGGGCGGGCCCGGAGTCTGCCCGTTTGACAATGTGAATATTCACATTTGACATGTTAACATTCACATTGATAAGAGTATAAAATTGGGCCGTGGCCCATGGGTGGCCAAAAGCCCGCCTGCAGCCGGGGCGGGCCCGGCCCGGCCCGTTGACAATGTGAATATTCACACTGACATGTTAACATTCACATTGATAGGAGTGTAAAATTAGTCCGCCGCTCGTAACTGCCCGAAACCCGCCCACGGCCTGTGGACGGGCCCGGCCGACCTGACCTGTTGAACAATGTGAATGTTCACATTGACATGTTAACATTCACATTATAAGAGAGATAAAACTAGACAGCAGCCCAGGGCGGCCCGACTCGGCCCGGCCGGCCCGTTGACAATGTGAATATTCACCATTGACATGTTAACATTCATATTAATAGGAGTGTAAAATTGGCCCCCGTCCCGTGGCGGCGTGAAAACCCGCCCGCGGCCCATGGGCGACCCCGGGGCGGGCTCGGTCCAGCCTCGTTAACAATGTGAATATTCACATTGACATGTTAACATTCACATTGAAGAGTATAAAATTGGCCTGCGGCCCTGGACGGCCAAAAGCCCGCCTGCTGCTCGGGGCGGGCCCAGTCCGGCCCTGTGACAATGTGAATATTCACATTGACATGTTAATATTTACATTGAAGAGTGTAAAATTGACCCGCAGCCCGAGGCGGGCTTGGCCCGACCCGTGACAATGTGAATATCACATTGACATGTTTAACATGCACATTGATAGGAGTGTAAAATTTAGCCCACGCCCCGTGGCTGTTCGAAAACCGTCCACAGCCCGTAGGCGGCCCGGGACGGGCTGGCCCGGCCTTGTACAATGTGAATATTCACATTGACATGTTAACATTCACATTGATAAGAGTGTACAATTGGCCCGTGACCCGTGGGCAGCCCGAAGCCCGACCTCGGGCCAGGCGGGCCCAGGCCCGTTGGCAATGTGAATATTCACATTGACATGTAACATTTATATTGATAGGAGTTGTAAAAATTGGGCCTGCGCCGTGGGCGGCTCGAAGCCCATCGTAGCCCGAGGGCGGGCTTGGCCCGACCCGTGACAATGTGAATATTCACTGACATGTTACATAACATTGATAGGAGTGTAAAACTTGTCCGCTGCCCGAAGCTCGCCCCACGGCCCGGGGTAGGCCCGGACCCAAACCCGGGCCACCCCGGGTAAGCCCACGGGCTTCGGGCCGCCCATGGGACACGAGTCAATTTTACCACTCTTACTCAATGTGAATGTTAACATGTCAATGTGAATATTCACATTGTCAACAGGCCGGGCCGGGCCCCGCCTCGGGCTGCCACGGGCCGTGGGCGTTGTTTCGGGCAGCCACGGGGCACGGGCTAATGTTACACCTTATCAATGTGAATGTTTAGCATGTCAATGTGGATATTCACGTTGTCAACGGGCCGAGTCGGGCCTTGCCCTGAGGAACGGGCGAGCTTCGGGCCGCCCACGGGCCACGGGCCAATTTTACACTCCTATCAATGTGAATGTTAATATGTCAATGTGAATATTCACATTGTCAATGGGCCAGGCCGGGCCTGCCTTGAGGAACGGGCGAGCTTCGAGGCGCCCGCCACGGGCCACGGGCCAATTTTACACTTCCTACAATGTGATGTTAATATGTCAATGTGATATTCACATTGTCAATGGGCCGGACGGGCTCGCCCCGGGCCGCCCATGGGACGCGAGTCAATTTTACACTCTTATCAATTTATGCAATGTTAATTGTCAATGTGAATATTTCACATTGTCAACAGGCCGGCGGGGCACCGCCCCGGCGTGCCCACGGGGCCGTGGGCTAGTTCTCGGGCAACCACATGGCGCGAGAATTAATTTTATACTCTTATCAATGATGAATGTTAACATGTCAATGTGAATATTTGCATTTATCAACGTGGTCGGGCCGGGCCCGCCCAGGCCAGCCCACGAGCCGCAGGCGGGTTTCGGGCGGCCACAAACCCGGGCTAATTTACACTCCTATTAATGTGAATGTTAACATTGTCAAATGTGAATAATCACATTGTCAACGGGCCGGGCCCGGGCTTCGGGCTGCCCACGGGTCATGGGGCCAATTTTACACTCTTGTCATATTAATGTTAATGTTAATATGTCAATGTGAATATTCATATTGTGAACGGGCCAGGCCGACCGGGCCCGGCCCTGGGCAACGGGCTTGGTTTCGGGCCGCCCACGGGCCGCAGAGCAATTTTTACACTCCTATCAATGTTGAATGTTAACTTGTCAATTGTGAATATTCATATTATTCAACGGGGCCGGGTCGAGGGCCTATTTTTTTTGGCTTGTGGGCCGGCCGGCCCGACTCAATTTTTTCCGGACACCCACGAGGATCGACATGAGCCGGTGGCCCCTACACATTGACGACTAATAAACATTTATATTGACGGGATGTGAACATTTCACATTAAGGGTATTTTTGTAATTATGTCACCATAGGTACTATTGAAACATAAGAAAATGAAAATAATGTGAACTAAATAGAACATAAATAGATGAAAAGGGTATTTTGGTCTTCTTATCTCAAATTGGACCTAATGAAATAGTAAAAAAGAATATGGGTTTGATGGAATAAACCTCTTAGAAAATGGATTTATCAAAAAAGCTCCCTTAATAATTTAAAATAATTTATCAAGTAAGACTAGAGTATGAAATAATTTTAAAAGGACTCAAGGTGATCCCACTGTTTATATAATTAAATATGAGCCAAAATAATTTACTGTAGACTAATCAAATAAAACTCAAAAATTAAATTTATATTCAAATCTAGAATCCTTTTTGAATGGAGATTTAATACTCAAGACTCAAGAATAATTAAAACTAAAAAAAACTGTCGAGCGGGCCTCACGAAATTGAAATAAAAAAGTAATATATTTTATTTTTATCAATTTAAATAGAATGGTCACTACACAACAAACATAATTAAGCAATTTAGAAATTCATATCAATCCAACTCTAAATAATACCCGAACTCAAAAACACACTAAACAAATTATTAAACAAGTACCGATAAAAAAACAAATTGAGTTTAGATTCAACTCATCACAATCTGAAGTCAAAGAAGCATACCTTATTGAAAAGAGGTTGAACACTATCGTAATTGCTATCGGAAGTATTGCAAAAACTATTGAGCTTTGGTATCTGGCGGAGTACCAGCCCCTTCAATTGCAGCAACTCAATTCCATTCTTAGCCTCGCAGATTGCAGTAAAACTTGGCAGGTCATGGAGATACAAGTCCTCAAGTTTAGGAAACACAATTTTATCTGTTGCTTCTTCTTCACTCGAAATAAGTACTTCCATCTTACGACAATAAGATACCTTAAGTATCTGTAGTTGCATCAGATCTCTGGCTATGGATAATGAGAACATCCTTTCCAATTTATGACAGCTCGTCAGTTCTAGAGAAGTCAGGTGGCGGAGCCGTACAAGTTGAGTAGGACCCTTCCACAAATGTGTCAATGCGGGCAAGTCCTGTAGTTTTAGCCTTTTCAAGGCACTGAAGGCCTCCTCTGGTAGTTGGCCATGACAAATCTCTTTCAATTTATCTAAATTATGGAGACATAGCTACTGCAACACAGGGAAGGCTATCTGTGGAACTGGAACCCCATCTGTTGTGTCAATGACATATTCCAAATCCTGACAATATTTCAAGTACAATTCTGTTAATTTTTTGAAACCATCTTTGTCTAAATCATAGCCAACATTCTTCACACCTACTGCTCCTATTATTTCTAAAATTTTAGTGATCTTGAAAAGATTCTTGAACTCACTCTCCATAAGATCGCTCTCGTGAACATCCTGGAGACTCAACTGGTTTTGTAACTGATAATCACGACAATATCTAGGACAGAACCCAGTGGTTATAGCGAATGCGTTTAGATTCGTAAGGACCAAGTCTCTTGGCCAGTATGCAAAATCTCGTAGGTGAATGACCAAAGTTGTAAAATTAGACAACCCACACAACTCAGTGAAAGTCGCTTTAGCTTCTTCTATCCTGTTTTCATCAATAAAGCTAGACCAAAGATACAACTCTTCTAGCTTTGATAAGCTCGACAGAACACCTGGGCAAATCCTCTTCACACCACATCGCAACAAATCCAGTAGCTTCAAGTGACTAAGCTGACCTATTTCTTTTGGCAACTCCTCGATTTCGATGCCTTCAAAACTCAAAATTTCTAGATTCTCCAACGCTCCTATTACAGATACATCATTGATCAGTCCGCGTTCGTATAGTGACAAGCTTCGGAGGTTGGTCAACCATCGCAGGGATGTCGGCAGTGATCCTTTTATGTACACATTCAACATGCTTAAAGCTTTGAGTTCCTTCATCCCTCCGTAGAAACTATCTGGGAGATTTGGTAGTTGTGATGCACAATTGTACCCATAATTGCCCTCTAGCCGTAAAAGATGGAGTTTTGGAAATTCTAGATTATCAGGCAGCTTGCTCATACCAGTGCATCGCAATGAAATTACAGCATAATTTTTGTGTCGTTCTTTCTCCGGCCATTCTTTCAATGCTTCGTCACATCTTACCATAAATGAATGCTCTTCCCTAGATGCTATTGATATAGCAACATCACGAACTACATCATGGATTTTAACACAACCTTCTCGTTCACCATCTATCAAGAGATAGCCTTTTTTTAAGTCATCGACAAAGGCATGTACTCTGTCTCTTGCTTCGTTGACACTATCAATGGACTCAAACATCTCTATCCCAACTCCATATCTAACGAGATCTTCAATTGGAATATTAAAATCTTCAACATATAAGGAACATAGCAAAAAACATTCCTTAATTTCTCTACTTCCTAAGAAGTTGTAACTCAACTCCAGAGATTTAAACACATTTTCTTCTACTTCCCTAATGTTTTTTACCATGGACTTACGTAACTGTAGAAGGGCTGAATTCCATGACTGCTCATCTTTACCTTTGAGTGCCCTCGCAACTGTAACAATAGCAATCGGCAAACATCCACATTCATCCGCAACTTTCTTCTGTGTGATATACAAATCAGTACTTGTGTGACTTGTGTCGTTGGAAATTCCAACCATCTCCTCAAAGAGATTCCATGCTTCTTCTTTAGTTAAGACTTCAATTGTAAATTTCTTTTGAGCATTCATATCGTTGCATACATTATCAAATCTAGAAGTCATCAAAATTTTGCAACCTCTATGACCATCTCCAAATGGAATTCCTATGTCATTCAGTTCGAGACGCCTCCAAACATCGTCCAATATGACAAGGATTCTATTGGTGCCCCTTAGTCTTTCACATAGTCGATTTGCTCTTCCACGTTCAGTCTCCTCCTCAAATTTCAAACCCAAATTATCTCCAATTTCACCTTGAATCTTCCTTTCATTTGGACTTTGGGACACTACAGCCATCACAACCTCATCAAACAATTTCAATTCTTTTGCTCTTTTGGCAACTTCTTTCACCATTGTTGTCTTACCAACACCACCCATCCCACATATTGCAATCATGTGGAATCCATCATCATTCAGTGCCTCCATGACATCGTTCGTAATCAATCTTCTAGATTCAAAAACCTTAATACCTTCAGTGGATGTGGATTCTATCCCAGGTAGAGGCTCATTGTAGGCCACTTCCGTCAGTTTCCTCTCTTCGTGCAACTGAGCCACCTCTTTTGCCTTGTTGGTTGCTTTCTTACCGAGCGAGTAACGTAACGGCAGGTTTGGACACCACCCATATAGACACCCTTTGTTTGCTTCAACTTCATCTTTTAGAATTTCTCTGGCCTCTATGCTGCATTTATCAACCCTTTCCAGCCACCCCTTAACATCAGGTCCGATACCTTTTACATTTCTTTTTGCTTCATCAACTGATAGCTGCATTGCACCTCTTTTCTCATCCAACTTCTTGACTTCATCTTTCAGATTCTTGACCTTGCTTTTATAGGAAAATAGATAACCGAAATGACGGCCAACTGGAGCCATTAGAAATTCTCCAATCTTGCCTACAGTTGGACCAACAAAACCAACCCAACCAGTAGCCATTTCTCACTTCTATTTCAGTTATGTACCTCTCTCCCTGTTTCTTTTCTTTTTTTTTCTTTTTTTTTTCCCTTTTTATGGAATGCAATATGTAAAACTAGAAGAAACAAACAACTATTGAAAACAGAATAGTAATTGTTGAACACAGACTTAAAATAGAGTGGCAGAGGAAGAGATTACAAAGATTTCTAGAACAAAAGAAGATATACAGAGATTTCTTTATCCTGGTAAGTAACAGTTGAACAAAGAGAAATACAATTTTGTAGAGGATATGAAGATATCAAAGGAACACTTTGCAAGAGGGGATCTAAAGTTTTTTTTTTTTTTTTTTGGACAAGCAAGCTTGAATATAGACAATTACAATATAATTGAACAAAGAGAACTTGTGTTGTAAAACAGAAATTGCAAAGAAGAAAGTGAGCTTAGTAAAATGAAAACAGAATGCAGAGAAAATTACAAAGTTTCCTAAAATCAAAAGAGAATACAGGAATTTTTTTTGTTTTTTTCTGGTAAACAACAGTGGAACACAGAGATTTATAATAAAACTGAAGACAGAAAGTAAGTTGAGATTTAAACAGAGAGAAATAATAGAATTGAAGTGGAAGTGGAAGTGAAGAAAGAAAAACCTTGGAAACTTTCCAGAGTGTCTCAAAGATGCAGGGGGGAGGAGGGAGGGGAGGAGGAGGAGTAGGAGGAGGAGGAGGAGGAGAGAAGGCGGTTCGACGATGGAGAGTCTGATATTCCGATCTCTGCAGCCCATTTCAGCAAGCTTTCTAGGCTTCCTTCCTCTTCTTCTTCTTCTTCCATATCTCTCTCTGTCTCTCTGTGTTCTGCTTTTTCACAGTCGTGAAATAGCACTTCGACATTGGTTTTTTTTTTTTACAACAATGTTAGGCAGGTCAAAATTTTGTGGCTTAAAATGACGTCGTTTTACACTTAAAATCTGTCAAAACAACGTCGTTTTACACTCAAAATCTGTCAAAACGACGTCATTTTAAGTGATTTAAACCATTAAGCCATTTAAACCATAAAATTTTGAGCTACCAAATATTTTCCTTTTTTTTATAAGCCTGAATTAGGAATTCTTAAAATTCGTAATCTGATTCAGTATAGTTCAATTCAGTTTAATTTAATAAGTTTGAATTAGTTTTTGAATTCGTGATTCGATTTTAGATTGAAAAATTAAAAATTTGCAATTATTTCGGATTGAATCCCACGATTCCGAATTAGAACCGATCCATAAAAGTGTATATTTTTATTATATACCCTTCTCTATAGTATTTTATCTTATTTCATAGAAAATTTAAATCCAAACCTAAAATTGCATAATATCTTTTTTTATTATTTTTATTTGCTAGTTTTTAACGTTAATTTGTAATGGTCTAAATACTTATAGTGGAACCAATTTTCTTATGATTGTTTAAATTTTAAAACAATATGTCGCTATTATGAAAAGACATATTGTTATTGTGAAACTAACATGGTGTTATATTTATATTTTTATGAAATTAAAGTATTATATATATATTTTTTGTTAGTTAATTATGTAAATCCGTGACCCTAAACTGATCCAATCCGTGTTTAAATGAATTAGTTCGGATTGGTTCTACGATTTAAACGGATTGGATTGATTTCAATTTTTTAAAAAACCGTAAATAATGGATTCGTCACGATTTTACTCCAATCTAATTCAATCCAGACCATATTCTTCCCTAATTTTTTTTTCTTCATATATTTCCCATTTTAGCTGATTCAGCAATTTCTCAATTTTCAGTGGCCGATCACAAAACCCATTTTTTAGCCTCCGTCTGAGAAGTGAGTTGGCTTTTTAACTTTTTTGGCTATTTTAGTCTGGGCTAAAAAGTTTGGTTTATGAAGGACTTTTTGACTTTTTGACTTTTTTAACTTTTTTTGTGAGAGAAGAATGTAATGATTATAGGTTGAATGTGATGTTTTATTTTTTGTGACTAAAATAACTTATTTTGTTTTTTGTGGTTAAAATAATCAAAAAAAAATCCGTTTAGCTCTTGCCAAACAGAACCTTAATACGGCAGCGAAAAGGTCGGTTGACGTAAAACAGCCCCAAGAGTAAAAGTGGTTTTTTTGTTTTTGTTTTTTTTTTTTGTTACATCTCCTCATTATTATTTACAGGGGGTGTGTGTTTTGAATATGTGTTGTGTTTAATTTTAAATTTTTTAAATAGATTTAAAAGTTTTGTATTTATTTGTCTTCTTTTTTTCATATATCTTTTCTTTTTCTTTTTCTCATATCAGCGACAATTATAATTACGTTTTTCTTCTTTTCTTTTTCTTTCTAATCTATAGTCACCGGCAACCAATGACCACTATTGATTAGGGTTCATTGACAACCACCGAGTATCGATTCATTACTTCGGGCTCATCAACGATGAAAGAGATGAGTTTCTGACAAAAAAAATGAGTAAATCTACTTATATCTGTTTTAGATATCAAAAATCTACATTACATCTAAGTAGATTTATGTTAGATCCGCCTAGATCTAAACCAAAAATAGTTATCGAAGTACAAGTCTCTCTCTACATTTGTCTTTTTCCTTCGATCTCTCAATTTTTTTTTCTATATTGTACACTTCTATTTTCCTGTTATAATAGAGGAAATTTTCAATTTTTGAATAAGTTGTTTTCGAGTTTTAATTACAGACGGTGAAAACTGTAAAATTTTACAGTTTTAATTTTTTTTGTGCTTAAATGAATTATTCTTTAGAACTGTAAAATTTTACAGTTTCATAACATGTTTTTCAGTTTGATTAATAAGGATAAATGCTTAATAGAATTATATTTTAAAACTATAACATTTTACAGTTTCAAAACTTACTTTTAATTTTAATTAATACTGGCACAGGTATAAATAAAATAATCAAAAATTAATTTTAAAATTAAATAATAATCTAAAAAATTTATCTATAATAGCAAATATGATTTAAAATCAATTAAATTTTATTCATTTTTATCACAGTTACATATAAGAGATTTTTTTTTTTTAAATTCTTGTGTCATTAATTGTGTGCTCTAATTTCTTAATAGCAAATATATGTCATAATTTAAGTGGTAAAAATTAAAAAATAAATCACAAAAATTATATTTATGATAAAATATAAATACATTTCGTCTTATGAGTTTCGTAAATTTAATTTATCATATGATAGTGGTAAATAACATTTGTCAATATAGTAATTGTTTCATGTTTTGTGAAGTCTGAAAAATAATTTGTCTTATGTTATATGTAACAATCCGAAAATTTAAGGTAGTGTTTGGTAAAGTTTTAGAATTATGATTTGAGAATAAAGTTGTATTTTGAGTTTGTGAGTTTTTGAATTATGATTTGAGTATGAAAAATTTGTTTAGTTATGAGTTTTGAAAAGAGTTTTAAATTGAGTTTGAATTGAGTGACGAGTAATTGTATACAATATGATATTTTTTGGGATACAATAGACATATTACGAACTGCCATAACCCAAACACACAAACCCAAAATCTATTCATAAACCCTATCATATAATACTAAAATTTTAAAAAATGCGACAATCAATATATTTGTGTTTTTTTGTAATATAAATAAGGGCCATAGGAGTGGCCACAGAGAAACAAAAAAAACCAAAATCGAACTATTGTTCCTAGTCAAAACTTGGCGCAAGTGCACGACTGCTCTGAGATCGGAACCGGTTTAGCTCATAAATTTCCTGCCTGTGAAAAAAGTTTTCAAAGTAGGTGTGAATAATTATTTGAAAACGCTAAACAAACACCACATCAAATGGAGTGGAAATTATATTTTCAAACATCACCAAAATGGGTTGTCCCTTAATTTTCTGATTAGTATTATTCTAATTAAAATGAAAAAATATAATTGTTATGTGTAGATTAATTAGATCAAATATTAATATATATATATATATATAAGTAGTTTTTAATTTAATAGTTATATGTGTGGCTAAGTAAAATTAATTTTAATGGTAGAGGTTTATTGTGTCCTATCAAAAGATAATATATAACGAAAATGTCTCGTAGCTCGAAAGGTCTCTGAGCTCGAAACGGCTCGAAAATGAAAAGTATGGGAGCAAAGAGAGGGAAGATGTAGGAGAGAGGGAGAAAGAGAGAGGAGAAGGGCTCTCGCGTGGGTTCGTCGCCACGATCGTCGCCCTGCAGACCGTCGCCTCGCCACAGCCCCGCGTCGCTGCCAGCCCCGCCGACATCGCAGCACCACATCATTGCCGCAGGCCCTCCCCTCCTCCTCCAAAACCGGTTTTTATGGGCCCCTCCCCTCCCCTCCTCCTCCTCCTCCTCCTCCTCCCTTCTCTTCTTCTTCCCTTCTTTCTTCTTCTTCTTCTTCTTCTTCGTTCTGTAACAAAAACCAGGGAAGAAAGAAAGAAAAAAAAAGAAAAAATTCGACACGCAAAACGACCGCGATTCGAGCCCGCGGTTTTGAAGGCTACGTGTATGGTCAAATATTATAATATGATATATTTGGGTCAATGTGGTTTACAAATATAAGAGCTAAAAGTATTAAGAGCTGATTAGAGATGTGTAGGATTTATTAACAAAAGGAACACATTTAATCCATTGACATTGCCGACCTATAAGCTAACCATCACTAATTCGAGCGGCTTGGTGATTTTGGCATAATGGGCATCGTTCAGGAGTTTCAGAGTTGCGGGCCGTGGGCGCTCCTTCCCCGACATCCGAACCTCTTCTTCTGTGGGTTTCGACTCACTGTCTTGTCTCCCGGTTTGCGAATCTAGAATCATCCGATATTCCTTTTCTCTGTTTTGCTGATTTCCTGAGGGAATCAAGAGAAATTTGAGGTCACCGGGACGAACTGGCACAGGAGTATTCTCACGACATCAAGTACAATATGCTAGCGAATTTGTGGGGTGGCCGTAGGCCCATTTTTCCATTTCGTAGTCCCTCGGTTTTCGATTTTTCGAAGCCTCAGGCGTGTGCCTCGGTTCGATGCGTCAAAACTGCGCGT